AGATAATGGCTGCCCTTGTTCAGCTGCCGTTTTCAAAAGTTACAAGAATTGATATTTTTGACCAAAAACCATAACCAGTGAAATTTGGATATTTTATAGAATATAGATCTTGCTTCTCAAAACCAAATCAAACATTTCCAGGAATCAAAACAAAACCAAACTTAGCTGGTCATCCTGTAGGAGTATTTGCATTTAACCACTCAACATTCATATACTCAGTGCAGTCACCACATGGGAAAAGATAAATAGAAGCTGAACAGGGAGATAGTACCACAATAGCGTGGATCTGCAAGAAGGCGCACAAAAGAGATATGGTCATCTGGTGCCCTCTTCTTCCCCAACTGTTCCTCTAGCAGATAATATGCTATCTGTACAACATAGAAAAGTAAACAGTCACCGAGTAGAAAAGCAAACTTTGTTTTGCTGTTGGAAGTAAGTTAATGTTCAGGAGTGCTTTACATTAAATAAACCATATCTGGAATAAAGAATCAGTGGAAATGATTTATTTTATCACACAAGATAGATTTTTACTGCACTATGGAAGAAGTTAACATCATCAGCAGCAACTAAAAGAAAAGCCTCTCATTAATGGCTCACGTTCAGTCCTATTTTCCAAATTACTAATGAAAATGATATCATCGATCTGATGTCAAATCATCATATAAACGTCCAAAAAATAAGATTTCATCCGTTGAGCTTCTAAATAAGATACCAACTCCTATCAGTTAGAGGTCACAAAAAGTGGTGCAGTAAATTAAACAAAATATAGCGAGAATATTATCTAGCGAGGCAGTGTAGAAATCAAAACTATCATGGCTGGGAATCAGCACAATCCAGGTGAACATTAATAAGAAAGATATCTTACACATGAGGTGGTAGAAAGGAAACATGCAATGAGTATGCAAGGGGCCCGGTTAAGCAGCAAGAGCGTAATGTCTGAATCACTTACAATTTTCGTTAAAAGGTATCTAACAGAATAACAGGAGAAACTAGTAGCCAATAGCTTACAAGAAAGTACCAGAAGCTAACCTGGGTATCCATAACATTGTGCAACTTGATATCAAACTGATAGTATAATGCCTGAAAAAGAAAGAGGAATTATATGTGACAAAAATGATACAAGAGGGAAAAGAGAAACAAGATTAGGAGGTTAAAAGAAGTTCCATAAGACCTCACTATCCCGTTTGCAGTCGTGAATAACTTTTGTGACATACATAGACTCAAGAGCAGGCTTACAGGCATTAATCAACTTTTTCCCACCACGAATTGCATCAACTAGGTAAATAGCATCCGGAAAAGCAAGCTGTCAATTTCAATGACGAAAGGTCAACTAAAAGGTGAATAATATGGTCAAGCCCCACCCAAAATTCTACGATAAAACCTATAAACTAGTGAAACTTAGCATGGAATCACCATCCCAAGCCAAAAAAGTCAATTTACACATCTTGCAATTTGTACACTAAAATATTGGACTTAGGACACAGAAAAGACAAGCTTTAACCAATGCTCAAAATGGTCGACCTTGGGTTGACAGGGGGCTTGGTACAAGCCTTGACATATGAAACCCGAGCACTGACTCCATTAATTTGGAAAAAAGCAGGTAATGAGTTTGATTTGGATGCACAAAGTCTAAAGGATGATTATAGCTATGTTATTGTCAGGCAAGGGAAGTTAGGAGATAATTTTCTGAATCCTGCAACTTATAGCTATGATTTTTTTTTTTATTATTTATTTATTTATTTTTGCTTTGCAAGAAAACAGATATTCAATTAAAGTTACTCCTAATAGACTTACACAAAGCTGCTATTGAATAACATCAGAATATTGGCAAATCAAGTGAGGCACAAAGTTGGAATGTACTCAGAACATGTAGGAATTGACAAATACCTGCACAATACAGAGAGTTCCATATCGACAGAGGTCAACACCCTCGCAGTCAAGTCCAACAACCAACTCATTTTTTGGGGAAGGGTTGAGAAATGTTGCTGGAAGTTGAGATTCATGGGTGACGATATAAATGGGCACTGGTTTTAGAACTACTTCATGATCGGCATGTTGCCTACCTGCTCAAATGCATGATTAAGTGATACGAACATTAACCAGTAACTAAATTATTACAGTATACACATAAAAAGGGCAACGAACTACATGCCCTGATTGGAGCCCTAATCACATCCCAAAACCAGTTACGACAATTGAAGTGTTGGAAAATAATAGGCACACATAGTTTACCCTAAGTTAACAATATCAACATAGTAGTAAAACTAAATATTGGGCATAAAAGACCACCTGAATTGGAGGACGGTAGAGGAATGTAAGTTTGGCGAGGACTAGGTGCTAAAGCCATAAGATTAAAAATTTGAAATTACCACCAGAGCAACAATCGATTTTAACATCAAAAATCTTTTTGTCTATGATTGGATATTCATGTTCTCAAATACTGCTGTTGTTGATGCTTTTATTCAATGGATATAGCAAAGAGAAAGCAGCAGTGAAGAGGCTATAAAAACCTGCAGAACGGTACAATGCGGCGTCTCTGCTCAGGGCATGCGCCTTTTGCTTGATACTTTTTCCCTACTCTTTCTGTTTCTCTCGGGCGGAGCCGTCCGCGTGCTATGCCGTTGTTCTGACACACTCTGGTATATTGGAAGTTATATAAGAATGGGCAGGGAGGTATACGGGTTGGTTGCTATTTTACAATTATCAAATCAAATTAATTGTGTCGGGTTATTAAATCTAAAAACTTTAATTCTAGAGTTATTTTGATTTGTCGGGTTATCAAATCAAACTTTAATTCTACTAAGATACAACTATATAAAGTATTTTCCAAAAAAATAATACAAAATATGAGATGTGTCATGGCTTATCCTAAAATATTCAACAATAAAGACAATAAAATTATGTAATATAAATATTGCTAATTAAAAAGTCATAATAAAAATAAACATAATCTAAAAGTACTAAGTCATGCTAAACTAAGTAGACTAATAAGGGCGTATTAATTACATGACTAAACGCTAAAAAATAAAAATAAAAATAGGTTATGCATTTTTATTTAAATTATTGCAAAACAAAAAATAGATATTCAATACATTCCCGTTCGTGGTATTGAATTGAATGTCTTTTGTTAGTATTGGTATTGATTTGATTTTGGTTTGGGCTTTTATTAGTATTATTTAATTTACTAATATTAATGACTATAAAACTTATTGGAACATTCAAAAGTTTTAAGTTCAACCTTGAAATAATACCTTAAAAGATAAAATTATGAATTTTTTTTAAGAAATATTTATAGATTACATCACAATAAGTATATTTATATATTAAATATATCTAAAATTTCTATATATGTAATGTCGGGTTGGTTTGGTTTCGATTTGACTTCTTTAGTTAAAACCAAACCAAACCAATTATGGTCGGGGGTTTTTTCCCAATACCAAACCAAACCAAACCAATTTAACTCGAATTATCGGGTTGATGCGGTTTGTCGGTTTACTTTGTACGCCCATAAGAATGGCAATGACTTCTTTTTAAAAAGGAATTTATTCTAAAAGTATAAATGTTCTTTTTCATTTTGCAAAGTAATGTGATGAAGAAGGTTTTTTAATGTTGTAATAAGGTTATTAATGTCACTTGTTATGAAAAGTTAACATGTCACCTGATAATATATAAAAAATTATAGTATATAATTTTTTTTAAAAAAAGTTATAAAGAACGTTAGGATATAAAAATTTGAGGAGTATTTAAGTTATAGACACATATAATGCTATTTTTTTATGAAGAGTTTTCTATTGTTGTAAGTCAATGTAAGTGATCTATATACTGTGTGTGCACATAATTTGGGCTCTTTAAAAAAAATTACTTAAAGCTTAATATGTAATGTATTTTACACCATAGTTCTCATGACGAATTATCCCTCAACAAAATTAGTAGTTCATTTTCAATTATTTGTAGCAATACAATAATTATGTTTTACTTATTGCGTTCTTCCCTTTGCATCCCATCCATTTCTTTTTATTCCGTAACAAAAATTACCAAAAGCAAAAGATAAAACTTAGGAAACTTATGTGGGGGCATTGTTAAAGAATGTTAATCATATCAAAGTACAATCGATTTGTTTGAGCAAATTAGATCACATGATTTAACAAAATCATAACTGTCATTTTATCTCACAGCAAGTAATAAAAATATATGTATTAAATTAAAAGAATTATGTAATCATCGTATAGATTTTGCTGAAACTCAAATAAGAAGATTAAAACATAATTAAGAAATTAATATAGTGTATATTAAAAACGTGGTTAAGAAATTCTGGTAATACTATCATAGATAGTGGTGTACTCGAGTAGGTCCCTTAATTTGACTTGGAGTTTTTACTAAGGCCCTTTGGGAACTAATAAAAACTTCATGAGTTTTTCAAATGTTTTGATTTGAAAACATTTGGTAAGGCGTGATGATTTGCGTATCAGTGTGCATAATCAAATTAATAACATTATTAGAAGATATGTAACTTTAGGCAAGGCGTGCATGAGGAAGAAATTTATTCGTACTCAATATTTATACCAATTAAATGAATATCAGACATATTTTATGTTTATACACTTTTATCACTTAATCATAATTAAAATATACTTACTCGTCGATTTATGACTTTTCCAATAAACTTGTTTGATTTAACGGACTAAGATAGAATGTAATTGACCTTTTGTAAACTTGATTGTAAATTAATCATAACATGATTGTATTCGTTCCGGGATTTGAATTGTCACATTTTCCAAACCTCAAAGGCCTTCTATGTCTTCCGCTATTTGCCCGTCGTGTCGACTAGCCAACACATCAAGTTGATAAAAGATAATCAAGAAATGTCACGATCCGGATTTCCCACTCTCGGGAATCGTGATGACGCCTACTCATAAAAGCTAGACAAGCCAACTACTATGATTTTAACACATTAGCAATAATCCAATCAGAGATAAATAGTAATTAAAGATAATCAGATATAAAGTGCGGAAAAGTTATAACAATTCAAAATACTCCAATACATGTCTACCCAAGGATCTGGTGTCACAATTTCACGAACATCTACGAATTTCTACAAACACTGGTTTAGAAAGAAAAGTACAATTGTTCTCAAAGTGAAGAGACAGCAAAAATCTAAAACGGGGAAGGGCGACTTCAGGCTCTGCGGACGCCAGCAAATCTACCTTGGTCTCCCTGAACTGAAGGCAACTACCTCAAGGTACTCATCAGGTCCGGCATCGAAATCTGCACAAAAGAGTGCAGGGTGCAGTATTAGTACAACCGACCCCATGTACTGGTAAGTGTCGACCCTAACCTCGGTGAAGTAGTGACGAGGCTAGGACACGACAACCATATAAACCTATGCAGTTAAATCGTATACGAACAGAACGATAATAACATAAAATGACAAATAAAGATGGGAAGGGGATCATGCTGCGAGGAATATCAGGTATTAACAGAATTTTAGTAGAGAAGCATAAAGAACACCATATTTATATCAGCGGGAATAAGGAAAACAGTAACACGTGCACGACATCACCCTTCGTGCTTTTACTCTCGTCCTCACCATAAGAATCAACAGGATCGACACATCATCACCCTTTGTGCATTAACTATCATTATCATGACACGGCATCACCCTTCATGCATTAACTCTTGCAATATCGGCACGACATCACCCTTCGTGCTTTAACTCTCAAATCATGGCACGACATCACCTTTCATGCGTTAACACTCACAATATCGGCACGACATCACCCTTCGTGAGTTAACACTCACTCACCATATCATGCACGACATCACCTTTCGTGTTTTACACTCTTCCTCACCCCAAACAATAGAAACAATACATTCCGGCAAGGGAATCAACAAGATAAACAATAACATCCCGGCAAGGGAATTAACAATATAAACAATAATATCCCGGCCAGGGAATCAGCTATAACCAATCTCTTTCCAATAGTTACTTCACAAAACAAATCCTAACTTGAGCCAATACTCAACAATGATCAATTACTAGGAAATTATCATGAATCATGTTCAACATTGATAATCATCAGCCTAAGCATGGACAATACACAATAGAGTCACAACAATCATGGTATAAGACTCATGGGCATGCTTGAGACCAACGTATAGATACTCGTCACCATGCCTATACGTCGTACTCAACACTAACACGTAGCAATTAAGACCACAACTCATATTCTCTCAAGCAAAGGTTAGACCAAACACTTACCTCAATTTCACGAATAAAAATCAAACCTCAATTACTGCTTTACCTCTTAGTTCTACTTCCAATCCGCTTGTATCTAGTCATAATTTACTTAATAACATCAATAATTGCTAAATAAACCAATTCTAATGCATGATATAGATTTCCCAATGTTTCTCCCAAAAAGTCAAAAATTGACCGCGGACCTGCTTGGTCCAAACCCAAAATTCGGATCAAAACCCGATTACCCATTCACCCCCGAGCCCGAATATACAATTGATTTTGGAATTCGACCTCAATTCAAGGTCTAAATCCCCAAATTTCAATATTCCTAAGTTCTACCCAAAATTACCAATTCCACAATGAACACCCTAGATTCTAGGATGAAATCTTGTAAAAAGAAGTTAAGGAGAGAAAGAAATGAGTTTAAAATAACTTACATATGATTTAGGGAAGAAAGAGTATTTGAAAAATTGTCTCTTATGCTTTAGGGTTTTGGAAAAACAATGGATGAAAAGTCCCGTTTATATAGCCGTCACAGATCCTTAAAATGCTGACCGCGGAAAAAGGGTCGCGGCCGCGAAACAAACCGCTGACAGCGAAGTAACGGCCGCGGGAGCTTTAGCCTTGCCCACCGCGGCAGCGAAATCCCCAGAGCGGCCGCGAAATTCCACCGCGGACCGCGAAACCCCAGGTTCAGAGACCTGCAATTTTTGGAATTATGCAGCACAAGTCTTTTTCCTAAGTCCATACACCCCGAAGCCTATCCGTAACTCACCTGAGCCCTCGGGGCTCTAAACCAAACATGCATACAAGTCTAAAAACATCATATAGACTTGCTTGTGCGATCAAATCGCCAAAATAACATCAACTACGAATTTAACCTCAAATTCATGAAATTCATAAGATAGTTCAAATTTTCCATTTTCTCAACCTAGGGTCTGATTTTTATCAAATCAACTCCGATTCTTACCAATTTTTTCATAGATTCGACCTAAATATTATTTTAAAACCTGTACCAAGTCCGAAACCAAAATATGGGCCCGATACCATTCAGATCACACATCGTTTCTTTTCCAAAAGTCTTTATATTTTCCAATAGACAATTTTCTTTAAAGATTCTTTTTCTCGGGCTAGGGACCTCGAAATTCGATTTTGGGTATACACCCAAGTCCCATATTTTACTACGGACCCTATGGGTCTGGGTCCGTTTACCAAAAACGTTGACCGAAGTCAACTTTGATCAATTTTAAAGGCTAAATTCAATATTTCTCTTAAATTTCACATAAAAGCTTTTCGGAAATGTGCCCGGACCGCGCACAAATCGAGGTGAGACCAAAGGAGATTTTTAAGGCCTCGGAACACAAATTTGACTTCTAAAACAAGATATGACCTTTTGGGTCATCACAAGAAAACTATTCAAATGATCTTTTCAATCCCTATTCCGTAGTATGATTGCGATACTCTCAATTTCATATAGCTTGCCTCGAGAATTATTACATACATACTAGAAGTACATACCTGCTATTGAATAAATTATGTTAATGCAAACATATGGGAGCATTGTCCTAATTTGTTTTTTTTAAGATTCAGACGTCTGAATCTGAATATACATCTGAATATCAAGATGTGTATTAAGATTAAGACATCTGAATCTCAATATACATCTGAATATTAGGATGTGTATTAAGATCTAAATACTAAATAATTAAAACTATTTGATTTTTAATATCTGAGTGTATAAAATTTATTTTTATTTGAAAATTAATAAACATAAAATTTAAATAAAATACTAATTAATCTAATATTCTATCAATAAAATCTATAATTTTTTTAAAATATAGTAGTTGCTGGTGGTGATGGCTAATGGTAGTGCTTGTGAATGCTGTTTAGAGGTGGTGGTTGGTGGTAGGTTTGGTTGATAGTTATGGTTGAGGGTAGTATTAGTGGTGATTAGTAATGGTGGCGATTATGATTGAGGATGGTGGTGGTGGTAGTTGCGATTGAGGAATGTGGTAGTTAATAATGATGTGTAGTGCCAGTTATGGTTGTTGCTGGTGATGGAGTGGTTAGTTGTGGTAGTTGAGGTGGATGGGTGTTATTTGTGGTTGAGAATGATGATGGTGGGAGTGGTGCAGATGGTGGGTGGTGGTAATCGATTATGGTGACAACTATGTTTGAGGATGATGGTGGTGGTGGTGGTGGTAGTCAGATGCAGAGCTAGGATTTGAAGTGTGTGGGTTCTAAATTGTAAAATAATACTATGACCTAAAACTAATATACAATAACAAACTGACTAAAGAATGAGTATCGATATTTAATATATATTTAAAAAGTAACAAAAGATAAACACAATATATGAATATAAACATTATCATTTTAATTGCACTCGACGACTTGTCATGTTTTGAAAACGATCAATGATCGCATCATTAGGTACACTTTCAAATACTTAATCCTCTATATAACAAACTAAACAATCATTCAAAAAGTTTATCACCAATCCTGCTTCGCAAATCATTTTTAATAAACTTCACTGAAGAAAAAGCCCTTTCGACCGTTGCAGTAGCCACAGGTAATATCAAACTCAATTTCACAAGCAAATAAATAAGTCCTCATGTCTTGTGAATATTTGTTTTAACCAATGTCTTCGACAGATCACCAAGCCCTTTCAATTTAGAGAATGCATTGTTCAATTCTCGCACATAGTCAATATAGTTGTCAAGCTCACAACTAAGATATTCAAGGTTAGAAGCAGTGAACTCATTTGGATAATATGTAGCAAGTTTCATAATCTTATTTCTATCATAATCTGCAAAAAAAATATTGGGACACAAACTAGCCATACCAAGAAGCAACTCAGTATTCACTTCACTAAAACGACTGCTAAGCTTCGAAAGTTGCAAATCAATAGTTGCACAAAAAATTCTACGTACAAATGATGAGAATATGTAATAGTTGAGCTTTCACGCTTCGACTTTCCAAGTGCATACTTCTCATCCATTTTTGGGATTACAATACCATTCTTATCACAAAACGCAGAGACATCTTCTATCAAAGAATTCCGTTTAGATTCCCTCATTGTTTGCAATTGCTTCTTTGTGAAATCAACAAGTTTCATTGCACTAAAAATATCTTGATCTTTTTTTTGTAGGTCCATATTCAAATCATATGTAATTGCCAATAATTTTAACATCAAATGTAACATACACACGAACTCATAAGATCTTATATCTTCCACTAGACTTTTTGCCAATGTTTTCTCCTGATAATTTGAACCCTCATTTGCAAGAACTCCAAGTATATGAAAAATTGATGAGAATAAAGAAATAAAGTTACACAATGTCTTAAAGTGAGATCCCCAACGGGTATCACCCGACCTTTGAAAACCAAGTTCTTGATTTAATCCACTTCCTGTATGAACTTCACCAAGCACTAATAACTCATCTAAATTTTCGGCTTGATCATCTCTAAGTATCTCCCTATGCTTATAAGAACCTCCAACAACATTCAAAACATTAGCCAAAATGTTTAAAAAATTATTTACATCATGATGTTTCTTTGCAACAGCTGCAAGAGTTAATTGCAATTGATGAGCAAAGCAACGTATGCAATATGCCGAAGGATTATCTTTCAGAATCAAAGTTTTAAGACCATTGATTTCACCTTGCGTGTTACTTGCTCCATCATACCCTTGTCCCCGTATTAGAGATGAACTCAATGAATATTGTAAAAGTAAAGAATATATTGCTTTTTGTAATGCAGGTGCAGTTGTACCTTTAACATGAACAAGACCAAGGAATCGCTCAATAAGTTCACCTTCCTTGTTGACATAGCGCAGAACAAGAGCCATTTGTTCCTTATGAGATACATCCTTAGACTTATCAACTAATATCCCAAAAAAAAAATCCCCATTCAAGTCTTCAATAATTGCTTTCACCATTTCTTTTGCACAAGAACTTACAATATCTTTTTGAATATCAGGAGAAGTCATGTTGTTATTTTTTGGAGCTTTTTCTAATACCACATT